TATATATATATATATATATATATATATATATATATATATATATATATATATATATAAAATTTATTTTTATATTGCACAATTACAATTAGGGTGTGCAAAATAAAGGGATACAAAGAACAGAACACAACTACACAAATATATATATTTTTTTAGGATCAACATTAAATAATGAATGAAAACAACAGCTTAAATATTGAGGTCTTCTGATAAATAACATTTTTAAAATGAAGTAAAAAATGTTCTACCATTGTTTATTTTTGTCAAACTTAAATATTTAAAGTAATTGCAGAATTCTTTTTGAAAAACAAAAAATAATGTCTTAGTTTTAAGGCGCTTATATTAATGAATATAAAATTTATAAAAAATAATTGTGCAATAAAAACTGGATGTGTACATCTTCGGTTATTATGCCAAAAATGGTTATTTCTAGAGAACTCTGATACCAAATTAAATGAAATATGCAGCCAGTCTGTTGTTTGAATTTCACATTCACAAAAGGTACAAATTTGATAATTTAAATGTAATTTTAATTGTTTTCATTTTTGTTTTTTACTTTTGTTTTTGTTGATTTAAATATGCATTATGCTGTAAATAATTGAATTTCTTTTTCTTCAGAATGCTTACACATACATGATGGGCACATGTGTGATTGTATTCAGGTTTTTCACCATATGTGGAAAGCATGTAAGTATGCATAAATGATTACGCTTGTAAAAATATGTGACATAACATGACAATTATATATCCACTTCAAACCCTATTACAGTGCATTTTCCTCCACTACTGAACCGTCTTGTATTTACAGGTGACGTTAAAGATGCTTTTGCTAACTGTGGTCGTCAGCATGTACAAGAGTTTCTTTATTATCGTGGGCATGTTCTTGTTGTTGCTGTGCTACGCTTTCGCCGGTGTCGTCCTTTTCGGCACTGTCAAATACGGCGAGAACATTAACAGGTAAGCCGTCTTGTGACACATGGAGGCAGTGATTGGACTGTGTCAGCGTACCAGAGGCGAGATTTGTAACACACTTACTACTACCCACAGCACTGATATAATTGGTGTTGTCTAAAGGTCTTGCTCAAATGTCCTACTTGCATTTGGGAGAATCAATTTTCAGGTACAGCTGACAGCATGAGAGGAAGTAACTCTGCGTGAGCTGTTACTTTTTCCTCTCTCGCCAACAGGCACGCAAACTTCTCCACCGCGGGGAAAGCCATCACTGTACTGTTTCGAATAGTCACAGGTGAAGACTGGAATAAGATCATGCATGACTGCATGGTAAGAGATTGGATGGCAGCCCCATTTTGCCTACAAGCAAGCAAGCTTGCTCGCTGTGAAAATCATTTTAAAAAAGTAAACAATTAAATTAAATGAATCAGATAGAATTGCAAATATAACTGTACAGCATCTAGTTTCATTCGACACACTTCTGAATGATTTATTTAAACAAACACACATCAGCTGTGAGCCCCATGTGCTGATTATGTTTGTTTATTGGCCTTGTTCCCCAGGTGCAGCCGCCATTCTGCACCCCAGACAAACATCGCTACTGGGAAACGGACTGCGGCAACTATGCTGGCGCCCTCATTTACTTTTGCTCCTTCTATGTCATTATCGCTTACATCATGCTCAACCTGCTCGTAGGTAAGCACTTCTTTCACCTGACTGCCGACACAATATCCTGTTCCATCTCCCATTGTGGCATCTAATTTCCTCCTGCTTTAGACGCTAGCCAAACTAGCTCATAAAATACAATATTGCTGCCCATTCTTCTTCCTGACGTCCCTCCATGTTTATTATCTCTTTGTTTCGTTTTTTTGCCAGAACAGAGTGGTTCCTCCCTCTGAAAGACTCACTCTCGTAGCTCAGCACTGGTCACTGCTGAATATGAATGAGGCTTTGAATCACTTTGGGCCAAAGCCAGTTTAGTCTCTGTCTCTATTCCTCTTGGTTTATGGACTGTATAGATGTGCACACTTGTGCATATGTTGTGGTGTGCTGGTGCCCCCAACAGGCTGCTTAATTAGCAAGTGGGGTGATGCACCAATCACAATTGACTTGAGAATGCTTTGTTCCAATTATAATTTATGTTCCAAAGAGGATGCAGTATTTATGCAGCAGCTTTATGCAGTAGAAGTTTGAAGGTTTATAAGCCTTTGTGGACACAGAGAATGATCAATAGCAAGGATGCGTTAAATTGATCAGAAGTGACAGTAAAGACTTCTAACAGTAATGTTACAAAAGATTTCTATTTCAAATACATGCTGTTCTTTTGAACTTTTTTCTGTCACTGAAGACTGGAGTAATGGTTGCCGAAAATTCAGCTTTGTCATTACATTTAAAATAGAAAACATTATTTTAAATTGTAGTAATATTTCACAATATGTCTATTTTGATTATTTTTGATCAAATAAATGCAAGCTTAGTGAGTGTATGAGACTTTCTTCAAAAATATTTTAAAGATCTTACCGGCTTCAAATGTTTGTGTAATTAACATTGAATTTTAGCAAGACTTCCATGGCTAATATGATCCACAAGCTTCATGCCTGCACCAGTGTTATTTTAGTGCCATTGAGATATTATTATAGTTATTCATATTTTGAATGAGATTTTATTCATATTTTCTGCTTCTATGTTAATTAAAAATTTTAGTAATTTTGTTGTTTTTGTCATTTTTATTAGTATTAGTAGTATATTAGTTTAATGTTATTGTTTTTAAATATTTATTTTATAGTTTTTATTCATTTTTATTTCAGTTTTAGTTTGACTTATTTTAGTACATCAAGTTAAACTAAATGAAAGTGAGAAATGTTGCCATGGAAACTAGCTCAAATAAAATAAGGTTTAGGTGTGATATGTGTCATTCAATGTGTTGCTTTTCCTAGCTAGTTGCATTCCCAGCGCTACCACAAGTGCTGCTACAGTGGGCATTAGCATTAACAGTTAACATGTTATAGCCTGACAATTTAAAAGAGGCATTTGAAGGTAACTCTATTGCCCCCTTGAGGTTTATTACAATCACAACAATGCAAGAACGCATGTTAAGTATGTACAACAGGACCATTTGCTTGCAATGCATCAGCCAAGCATTCCTGTCTGCATTTGCACACTTGTTTAGAGTCTTTTACTTAAGTACTGAGAGCCTAACTGAAAGCTATCCCAACCATAATCACTTTATCTCCCCCTCAGCCATCATTGTGGAGAATTTCTCTTTGTTCTACTCCACTGAGGAGGACCAGTTGCTAAGCTACAACGACCTGCGTCACTTCCAGATCATTTGGAACATGGTGGATGACAAGCGGGAGGTGAGGAGGAGGAGGGGACGTGCCTGTGATCAGCGGCTGTCAGCGGGGATGACTTTAAGTTAATATTCGCGTGTGCTCTCCGCACCGGCTCTGAAGCTGCAAATGAATGAATCACACGCATCGACATTCTCACCTCCAGAGTAATTGGAGGTTATTACTGCCTGTCACAGATAGAGAGAGGCGCTGAGCTGTCATCTTCATTAGGTGGAAACAGCCTTATTGAGAGCAGAAGAGAGAAGTGTGTTCAGTCCCCCCCCCCGTAGGATCAGTAATATCTGCTCATGTTTATGAGTTAAATGAGGCACACCAGTCATTTTCTGGCCTTAATGAATCGACCAGCAATGCTGGGATCAGCTAGAAACACTTGAGGCCATAAGACTGTAACTGCTGAGCACAGGAAGGACTATGATTAGACACATGAGTTCTGGACCAAAATCTAGTGAGCTTCCTCGTTGTCTACTAGCCTTCCAAGACAACATCCTGACTGTCATGGAAGCTCACAAAGCTGATTTAGAACACTACATATCTAAAAACAACTTTTCATTAGTAGATGCACCAATAATTTTTTTTTTGTACTATACATTGAAACTAAAGTTTTCATTTGGCTGAAAACCAAAACTGTAAACTGCCAGTTCTCAGGTTTTAATTGACACCAATCAGTAAAAGTAGTTATAGTAAAATAGTACATATTGTTACTCGAGCATCATTTTTGGTCGCAGTGAAGTGCGTCCACTCAGCTGACATGTTCACCTGTTGTAGCTTATCCAAGTTGAGTGCACAAAATATACACTGACACAGTCAATTTGTACACAGTACACTGACACATTTTCTTTATTGGAATTTATCAAAAAATGTGGATTTAGCATGTTGCAATACTCTAATATGCATAAAAATACACAGTGCATACAAAAATTCCCAAAACGGATCATTTTTTAAAACTAATATTTAATGATAATATTTATATAATTATAATGAATATTTTTATTGACTACTTCACCATTCATAGATTATCAAAATTCATTCTGAGATTGCCTGCTCTGCTAAGGATACATATGATGTGTCCATAGAATTTAATAAAAGGAACTTGCCTGTAATCCTTTAAAATGCTGTCTAGGTAGGCAGCTCACTAGCAACAGAGTGATAGTCTGAGAATTTTCTTACATAGCCTTTTTGCCATAATATCTAGCAGGTATTTACTTAGGTTTTTTGAAAACAGGGAGTGATTCCGACCTCTCGGGTGAAGTTTCTGCTCCGTCTGCTAAGGGGTCGTCTGGAAGTTGACCTGGACAAAGACAAGCTTCTCTTCAAACACATGTGTTATGAGATGGAGCGTCTGCACAATGGAGGAGATGTCACCTTCCATGATGTACTGAGGTTAGAAAGGACCAATGCTATTCATTACAGCACATTTTTTGGGAAAAACAAAAAGGTTCATAACACGACAAATCCAAATGTGCTAAATAGAAGACCTACTATCAAAACTCAAATTTTTCCTAGTCTAAAAAGAACAAACCCTGAAAGGGCCACTCCATCACTGTTGTGTTGACATATTGGTCCCTTGATTTGCAGCCTATATGAAGTTATTGATGGTATATGTGTTTCAGCATGCTGTCGTACCGCTCAGTTGATATCCGGAAGAGTCTTCAGCTGGAGGAGCTGTTGGCGCGAGAGCAGCTTGAATACACTATAGAGGAGGAGGTGGCCAAACAAACCATCCGCATGTGGTTAAAGAAGTGCCTGAAACGCATACGAGCCGTGAGTTCACACAAACACACAAACACACACACGACTCTCACACTTCTGACACTTCAGAGATATTTACCTCAGTAAACTGAAAACAGATCAGCAGTTTGACATTGACTACATTCACACTACATTTCAACATGACCCAAATCTGATTTCACTTAATATGTGGAAATAAATCCATAGTGTAGATTTTTTATTTATTTATTTGCTGTGGGACTTGAACAGTCAGGTGGGAATTTATGCAATGTTTCTGTCAGTCTAACTTGACAGTGTGACATTTATTTTTTGTCTGAGTGATATATTTATATATTTATTTATTTATGTTTTATTAATTTTTTATTTAATTTTTTGTCTCCAAAAACTGAATATATATACCAAGACAGTTTATTCATAATACTCCTAATTGGGAAAATTGCTTTGCATATTTTTGTGGAATAACAACATTTGTTGAAAAGCTCATTTAAAAGTGTTATTTAAATGTGAGGTTGACAAGCAGCAGATTTAGGTATTTCCTCATTCACGTAGATAGGAATTGGTGCCCGAAATAACTGCCTGGAGGCGTTGCATATATGGGCACTGAGAGAACTGACTTTCCTTGAAAGGAGCTTTGCTATCTCTTCTCAGAAAGAAATCTGTTTTGAGCAGGAAGTCAGAGTTAGGAGCTTTTGGCTTGCGATGTGTAGCCAACGTCAAAGCTATAAACTTACAGAGATCCACTTATAGGATTACTGATATAACTGCTGATATTCAGTTCAAATGCTTTTATTGTCATTGTTCAATAGAATTAGTCCCAAAACAGCATAGTGGCACTGGGATAGAAGCTAATATTAGACATGCAGGATGAACCGAATGAAAACACTGACACCACCTTCCTCCTTCAGAAGCAGCAGCAGTCATGTAGCATCATTCTCAGTTTGAGAGAGAGCCAACAGCAGGACCTCCGACGCCTGCTCAACCCTCCCAGCATTGAGACCACCGTCCCCAGTGAGGACA